TCATACATATCTATTGCAATTCCCTTGCCTCCACTCCCACACTATACTCCACGTCCCATGACTATATATATATATATATTTATTTATTTATATATATATTCACTTATAGTTGACATACAATATTAGAGGGTTGCCTTTTTGCATATCCCTTTTAAATTGCATTTATTAATATAATGAGTATCTCACACCTTACTTCAAAAGCTAGAAGTGACAGTAATTTACCACCAGAGGTCACTGTCACTCCGTTATTTTTGCCAGGATAGCTGGGGAGAATTTTCATTTGTACTTTTTTGTGTTGAGCATCTTTGTGATCTCTTCAATTGCATCTTTCCCCTCTGGGCAGCCTATTCATGCTTCCATGCTTCCCTCCTCTCAGGGTCTGCTTCTGTCTCCCTTAATATTTACTCCTTCACATTTATATTTGATAACCCCTTTAATACCTCTTTGGGGTTTTTTTTTTGTTGTTGTTGTTTTTTAAGATTTTTTTTTATTGGGGACTTGCGGAAAGGGAACAGCATTGGGGAATCAGGGAAAGGGAACAGACAAGTTGCTGTCCTTTTGTTCTTGAGTCTAGTTGTGGAGGACGTTGCTTCACTGGCCCATGTTCGTATTATCATTGCGCTTTTCCCAGGTGAGGCAGATCGCTTCCAGGCCATTGGACGGCCACTCACGCTGGCTGCCAGCCACTCATGGTAGCTCATGGCAGCCCACTGCAGCAGGGGCTGCAGCCTAGGCCGTCCCTGGCGATTCATGGCAGCTCAGCTCTAGGTTGAGCTGTTGTTCACCATCTCAGCTGTAGAGGGCAGTGTCACTGGCCCTCATGTGGGATCCGAACCGGGGCCCTGCTGCTCAGAGCTGGCGTCCCAAGCCAACTCTTAACCATGCGCCATTCGGCCGGCCCGGTTTTTTCTTTTCTGTTGCCATTTCTCCTCTCCCTTTATTCCCTTGGGGTCTTTCCATCTTCTCACAAGTCCTTCTCTCTGACACCTCATCCCCATTTCCAGCTCTGAGTCTGCTGTCTCTCTCCCTTCAGCTTCATTTTCTTTTTACTTTTCTTTTATGTTTCACAACACAGTCATGTACTTAACATATATCAAAATATGTTAAATTTGGAAAACAATTTCCACTGAAGAACAAGGGTATCTTCCTATATATAACATATTTTAAAATTTCAAAGAGGTAAAGAAGTTATGGAGGTGAAGGTACAAGAAATATGAAATATTTTCAATAGGAATTTTAACAGAAAACTGGGAATATATAAATATTACATATGAAACACAAATTGATATAGTCTAGAATATTTTCCAGGTTATAACTGAAAGCACATAGCATTTATAGCTGAGAGATGAAGGTACAAATTCAAGTTTAGACGTTTAGGTACTGGTACTTGTTGATGAAGTCACATTATTTCCCAGCAATTAAGTTTCCTCATTTATTGATGTTGCGTGATGATAAAGTGAGGTAATATATAAATATTTGTATATAAACATAAATAACATAAAAATTCTACATATAGCTGTTAAAAATATTGATGTTCTTTTCTTAATTCCTTTACAATCACATGAGGCTCTCTTGTGGTTTTTCTTTTTCTTTTTTTAGATTTTATTGGGGAATTGGGGTAGGGGGACAGTGTTGGGGAACTGGAGAAGGGGAATAGCCAAGTTGTTGTCCCTCAATCTTAGTTGTGGAGGGTGCAGCTAGCTCAGTTCCAAGTCCAGTCTCCACCCGGCCTCAGGTTGGCAGCTCATAGCCGCTTAGCTCAAGGTGCCGTGTTCAATCTTAGTTGCGGGTGGGGGTAGCCCACCATCCCATGTGTGAGTCGAACCGGAAATCTTGTTGCTAAGAGCTCACGCTTTAACCACTGAGCCATCCAGCCGACCAACAGCAGCTCAGCTCAAGGTGCTGTGTTCAGTCTTAGTTGTAGGTGGGGTCGTAGTTGCATGTGGGCTCTTAGTTGTGGCCCATCATCCCATGTGGGAGTCAAACTGGCAACCTTGTTGTTAGGAGCACATGCTCTCACCAGCTGAGTCATTCTGCCACCTGTTGGCAGCTCAGTGGCAGCTCAGCTCGGGCGCAGCTCACTGGCCCGTGTGGGAATCAAAACAGCGACCCTGTTGCTCAGAGCTCGCGCTCTTAGCCAACTGAACCACACAGCCGACCCACTTGTGCTGTTTCTTTTTTTTAAGATTTTTTTTTATTGGAGAATTGGGGGGTTGGGAACAGTGCTGGGGAATTGGGGGAAGGGGAACAGACAAGTTGCTATCCTTTTGTTCTTCAGTCTAGTTGTGGAAGATTTTGCTTCACTGGCCCAAGTTGGCACCATCATTGCACTCTTCTTGGGCGAGGCAGATCAGTCGCCGGCTTCTGGACGGCCGCTCACTGCGGCTGCTGGCCGCTCACGCTGCCTGCTGGCTACATACGGTAGCCCATGGCAACCCACTGCCAAAGGGGCTGCAGCCTACGCCGTCGCCGGCGACTCACGGCAGCCCAGCTCCAAGTCGAGCTGTTGCTCAGCATCTTAGCTGTGGAGGGCAGTGTCACTGGCCCTCATATGTGGGATCCGAACCGGGGCCCTCTGGCATCCCAAGCCAGTTCCCAACCATTGTGCCACTCGGTCGGCCCCACTTGTGCTTTTTCTTATATTTCCACATATACTTATCTTTATTGAATTTCTTCCTCTTTTTAAAAAACCATTTATCTGTTTTGCTGTCATGTTAAATTCAAATGCAAGCGATAGACTATCTCCATTTGTGGGGCATTTGTTTAACTTAAATGTTGCCCAGAAAGTGTCCAAATGAGTTTGCTGACTAATCTTTTCTCTGGATATTCTTCTTCATTTTCCATTTTTTCTTTTTCTTCCTCCATCTCTTGTTCCTCTTTGTTTTGTTTTGTTTTGCCACATCCTTTTCCTTTTCTTCTTTTTCTCCTCTCCATTTAAAATTTCCCTTCTTTCATCTCCACTATAATTCCTATTTGATTCCCCTGATTTTTTTATCAGGCATAACTGGGTGTTTCTACAATATATAGCAAGATTTGAAGCATCAGGCGCTCTCGATCTTGAAAGTTTCATCTCATGGCTTCCAGGACGCCATCCTTTCCTGTTTTCATCTGTATCATGGCTGATCCTTCAGTTTTCTTTGCTTGTTTCTTCTTTCTCCCTGCCTCTCCTGACTGTGGCCCTCCTGAGTCAGCTGTTTTCTCTGCAATGCCTCTTTTCCTCCCATTCCCCTCTTCTGTTTTCATTTGCCATCTGCCTCTCCGCTGCTCTTTGTTCTTCCCTCTCTCATCTTTCTAGCCCCTTTCCAGCATCGCAAAACCTTTCTCTTGAATCTCTTTCCTCTTCCTCCATCCTTGTCTCTCGGTGGAGACAGACCTTTCTCCTCTCTGCCACGTGTCCCCACTCCCATTTTCTCGTTTGCACAGAAGACGAGACCCACACCCTTCTCTCTTTCCCTCGCGTCCCTCAGCCGTCTTGTCAGTCCTCTCTCGCCTCTCCTGTTCCTTTCACCCTTTTCCCTCTTCCATCTCTCCTAGCTGTTTCTTCTCAGATCTGTTCCTTTTGGAACCAGTTTTCTCGTCTTTCTCTAGTGATCTGGCCTCTGTCTCTAACACATTTCCTCTCCCATGTCTCCCTGCGAGTGCCCCTGTCCTCTTCCACCTCCTACTTCTCTATTCTACTACTCACCTCCTTTGTTGTCCCCCGAAGACAGCACATTCTGGCCCCGTATGGGGCCCTGTGGCTGTGATTTCTGGGGTATGGGACATAGTCTGCCAGCCTGTCTCAGCTAGGGATGGGGGACATATTTGGGCAGAGCTGCTAAAAAGACAGTGACCTCAAATAGTACCCTTTGCAACAATATGGATGGAACTAGAGAACATTATGCTAAGTGAAATAAGTCAGTCAGAGAAAGACAAATATCATATGATCTCACTTAT